GCCACGTTTTATCGCGAGTGTGCTTGTAGCAATCGTTTCGCTGATCACAATAATTTCGCCGTAGCACAAAGCATGTCTTTGATAAATCGGCGCTGGAAATTGCATAGACCTACGCGATACTTACGTACAACGCAACGAAATCGAGTCAGTTAGTGCGGCAGTTTTTCTCAGAGATTACTTTCCAGATACTTTTACAGCCGCTGTCCAAATCCTTTATGTACACACTGCCTAATATAATTCAACGTGTCGCACGCAATGAGCAAACTAACACGATTCATCTTCTCGGAGTGTAAAATTTCTGAAATCTTTTTTACTCAGACTATAAATTTGTTGCTCACAATTTATATAATCTTCATTTTTATTCTTGCTGCATCACGTTTTCGTATTTATCGGTACAGTAACGATATTATCTTGCTGTCGCAAGGTGAGCTTAATTGTGTGCAATATAAATTGCAGGGTCCTCTACGCTTTTTAAATCGACAAACAGTTATCACGGGGCGCAAACAGCAATCGCTTGTCATTATTTTGGATTATCGGTTACCGTTAATTGACGGTCGGGCGCAATGTATCGTGCAGTCTGTTCTCGATCGAAACTATTATCGGGTCGACTATATCGAATATTACGACGATATCTGTCACGGTGAGAAATAACACGATCGGTCGAATCGAACAAAAGAATTAACGGAAAAACCGTGGGATAGCATCACGCTTCATAAATATCGCTACCTGTAAATCAATTAATTGACATGCCGCGTATATATCGGGCTCGCGCGTTGTAAAATATTTGCCGGCTCGCCGATTGTTCATTATAAAGCACGATATTGCGAAGATTGATCGGATGCGAACGACAACCGTATCATCGTGATTATATTTTGACAAATAAATAATTTGTCGTACGTACGCTCTCCCCTGTTTTCGAACGGGAATTTTCTCGTAATTACCTTCGGCTGCATGTACGGATTACGTAACACTAGATTAGTTGTCTTAAGATAAGCAAGTTACCGCGCTAGTTTGATAACATCCATGTTACCAACAACAAACAAACTATGACGCCTGCACCCATTAATGCAGAACGGCATAATTAGATACACATTAAGCAAACAATTTAGCTGTTGCAAACTGCCTCATCGATCTACATCGGACGGATAATTTTCTTGTTATCTAAAATTGCGCATGAAATGTAGAACTTTGTATTTTTTAGTACCACATTCTTAATTTCTGTGTTTTTTTAACTTTATTTAATTTAAATAAAATTTTAATAAAATTTAAATTAAATAATAGTTTCATCGGGACATATCTTTTTAAAGAGAAATTCTCTCTCGCAAAAAATATAATGGTGCTTATCAAATAATTAATTTAAAGTTTTTTTTACGTTTACCTACTTTTATTCTTGCACTCTTTGTGTCCTCTCACTCTTTGTATCTTCTTATCGTTAATTTAATTTCTGCTCATTTTTTCGTTATTCGACGCGGCTTTTCCGTCCTTCTCCGATCAAAACCGCAGTAGCGGCAGGAGGAGCGTGCTGATTGGGAGGCTAATCACGCGCTACTCTCCATTACATTAATTAAAACTTAGCTTTCAACTCCGCTCGACTTCCACGTCACCCGCCGTCCCGTCCGCGTTGTCCTTTTCTGCTTTCCATCCTGTTCTCAATGTTCGTTCGCGATCACTTTGTCTCCGCTCGTTCATCTACTCATCCATATGTGCCATCGCTTGTGTATCGTGCCTTCTAAGAAAATCATGACCATCTCCAACAACATGGATATGAATAAACGATAAGCCCGTCTGTCACCGGTATCATTTAGCAGGTAGCAGACGGCTAAGATCGATACGATCTCGTTGCCTGTCCTTCTTCTGCTATCGTTGCTTAAATAAAGCTCCTACCTATTTCTCGACGAACATTATTTTCCACGTAATTGACACTTAATTATACAAATCATTCTGTTTGACAAAAACGTTGCAAAAAATTTAGGTAATAATTTTTATCTAACAAATTTTGCAATTTTAATAATTTCTTGAAGATAATAAATTTAAAAAGAATTTAATATTTAACGAGAAAAAATATTACGCGTTAAAATATTGCATATAAATGGAAGAAGAGTCTGGTATAAATAAAAATAGTACTATTAAGACTTATTTAGTTTGTGTTCCCTATCTACTACTCGAGACTTTTGCTTTCAGGAGTTGCTCCCAAGGGTTGGTACTCTCAAATGGATACCGTTTGAGAATTACTCTCAATTCAACATCCACCTTATGTCTCCGTATCCTAAAAAGTTTTACTGCCGAGATTTGTTTTCAAATTGCTAGACTTTAAAAGTTTAAAGTATACATCGAATTTTTAATTAAATATGCGCCTTAGAATTTAAGTATCGAGTTTCTAAAACTCTAAAGTAGAGTAGTAGGAGAAATAGGGCACCACATGATATTGACAAATTCCGCAATATATCGACAACTATTTGTATAATCATCGTCGTATTTGTATTCAGGATATTGAATAACAAAGACCACGAATTTCCGCGATTACTCCGAGATTATTCCGCGAATTAGAACATTCATTGCACAAAAGATTTGTATGCTGTTGGCAAAATCGCTTTGCCCATCCAGCGAAAATCTCTGCTCGACCTCAATTCGAGCGTGGTATCGATGGAGTTTTGTAGCAGAAAAAAAAGGTAAAAATAACGGCGAATAAATAACGCTTCACCGTTGATAATGGTATTTATTGAATGTTCAATTATGCAGTGCGATATCAAGAGAAGGAATATAGAGATCGTTCTCGCGATTCTATCGGGACCGAGAGCCCGTCTATTTTTCTTCGCCTGTGCATTCATCTTCTTAAGAGAGCCAATAACGACCGCAAAAAACAGCTTCCCCGCCCGCTAATGTTACGATTATGGCTGTACTTTAATCAAGTCGAACGATCGACACGAGTGGCCCCGCGTAGCTATACAATGCACGATATACGGGGTGACCTCGCGCGAATAGAATGTCCATAGATTGGGACTACGTATCCCCCGGATTAGCTGGAGAATTATCTTAACTCAACTGACAGTTGTTAACTCTGAGCTATGAACACTCTATCGCGAGACACACCGTGTGTATATATATATATATCACGTGTATTATCCGGACGAAGTGGGCCACGGCTTAACTTTACTTTCGACGAGGATATACGGCCGGCTGCAAGTAAAATTGGAAAAAGTGCCGATCAAACAAAATTAATTGGGTTTTCCAACCCCCCCCCCCGCCGCCCGCGGTTGCAACAAAGCAACTCTCGCTTCGAGCGAGAACGAACCGATTCGGAGGGCTTCTCAGTCGCGAATAATTTCGGCCTCCAGAACTTTACTCCATTCGGTGGGCCACGATATCGTTTTTGTAATTCGATCGCGGAATAAAAAGATCGTGTTTGACTAGAAGCTACGGCGCGAAGGTACACAGACAGACGGCGCGGGTCTATCCCATCGAAATATAACATGCAGATCGACGTGCGACGTGCGGATTTTGTAGAAACCGTGCAAATGGAAATATAGGGAAAATTCTGGTTACGGGGAAGCGCGTGATCGAGCCGGCGAAAAATGTTTTCTTTTCTATAACGTGACCGGACCGCGGGAATTCGTCGTTTCGATTATTTTTCTACAATGTGGTTTCGCGCAGAAACATATGACGGTACGATAATCTCGTTGTACAACTGAAAAGTTCTTCCAAAAACATTGAATAATCCTTTTCATTATTTTTTTGCAAGATAAAAAAAAGAAAGAAGTCGACTTCTAAAAAAAAGAAAGAAGTCGACTTCTTCTAACGTAATCTAAATTTTATATGCTTAGAAGTAATAAAGAATTCATCATGCTTAATACAAAATATGTAAGACTTTGTAAGACTAATTAAACGGGCGACTAAAAGCTTCTTCTGAAAATACTGAATAATCGATGTCGTTAATTTTTCGCAAGGTACAAAAAATCAATTGCTTACAATATATTCCAAATTTTACATACTTAACAGCAATAAAAAATTTATTATTTTTAGTACAAAGTACATAAAATGTTGTTTGTACAACTGAAAAGATTCTTTCGGAAACATTTCATTCATTCTTTTGCAAGATGCAAAAAAAATAATAAACTTTTTCCGACGTAATTTATTATAAATTTTATATGTTTGGCAGTTAGAGAATTTATCGCGTTTTATAATCTTACACATTAGTTCAATAATTCATGCATTAGCATATGTAATACTCCGGGAACAAAATGTCATTCCACTTACGACTGACTTTTCGTGAAATAAGCTGTTCAAGTTTCAAGAAGAGAAACTCGGAAAGTAACTGGCACGCGATAGTTAGCCCCACTACTACGATCGTAATTATAAGTTACACACCGTTTCTATAACTGAAAGCTGAAGCTGAAGAGCCGTGCGCTTTTTCGCGCGATGGAGAACCATATGAAGAAGACCGAGATTCTCGGCCGATTCTCTTTGCCCGTTCACCTCCGGGGTTGTTCACGAGCAGCTACTATTTAACATTTAGTCATACAGCCGCGCACTCTGCTACGCACGCATTCGTCGTAAATCCTACCAACACACGCGCGAAGGCCGGCACGGTGGTAAAACGTATATCGATATACACCGGGCGTGCGCGCGCGTGCTGCCGGATCACCCCGTTCTCTTCGATCTCAAAGCCACCCCTGCTCCGGTTTCACGGATGGAATTTCAGGAGAAACGTTTTATACGGCGGGTACTCTCTCGGCTGGCACGTCGCCTCGAGCGCTTTGTCGGAGGGCAGTTAATTAATAAAAGCTGGAAAGAAGGAAGCGAGCGGGGGCGCGCGTATACGGGAGCGAATGGGAGCACCAGGCGTTGGCTCGGGGAACGACGGGGGGATGCGACGGGATCGGAGAAAAAGGGGGAGGGGCTGATAAAAGGCTGGAATATATACCATACTCTATCGTTTCATATCGGCCGGACCGAAGACCACTTGCAATTCAAACGAGAGAAAGAGAAAGAGAGAGACTCACGTGTCGTGAACGAGAAACTTGTCGCCGTCTTTCTCGACGCAGAGGCCCTTGCTGGTGATTTCGGAGCCGTTGACGGTCAGCAGCTCGGCATTCCCCGACTGGAACCACCGGCCGTACCACTCCTCCGGGAACGTGCAGCCTGGAACAGAAAGACAGAGAGGATGAGAGTTTCAGCCGCCTGCGGGCGATAGGACGATATATTCGCCTCGGTCGGAAAAGTTTTCGGATTTTAATCTGAGGACCTGAAGCGCGCCAGCGTCCACGCCGACGGAAACGCAAAACAATCCATACTGCCCCGGCTACGATATTTTTCAGCGAATCGCCGGCGAGCAGCCGGCGGGCTTGTACGCGTCAGGGTTACCGTTCCTCCCAGCAACCCGGCCAAAAGGAATGTAATGAAACAATTGTAACTGGTGTTTCTCCGTCTCTCTCTCTCTCTCTCCTGCTCGCGGAAACGGCCGCGGAAAATGTCGAGCCCCGCAGGATTATTTTCTCGTTTTCCGTGAGACGCGGCGATTGCATGAGCTGAAAAGCCCGTGTTTCCCTTCGGGTCGAGAGAAGAGAAACCGTACAGTGTAATACTATATCGGTGGGAAGGTAGCTTCGCCTTGTTGTCTATTACACGGGGATCCGCGCTGTAAATTGATTGCAACGGTCTGTATTTATCTGTGGATTATATACAGGTGTGCAGTCCGAGCTTTATATCGGACATAATACGTAAGAATGTTTCGTTTTAAGTTCCGATTTAATACCTGAAAAGTTTCGACGATACAGAAAAGATATTACATCGTGTCATGTTCTTGAAACCAAAATACATCTTTCCGTGTCGAATTTTTCCGCGTCTTCGTGCGAGTGAAACGGAAGCTATGGAAAATAGCTGTTGTTTCCGTACTTTGAAATAATCGTAATAGATTCGCCGCGAGAGACGATCGCCGATGGTTGGCGTCGCCATCGCCGCTGCTTCGCGCGGAACAGTCTTCCTCCCTCCCCTCCTCGAGCGTCTTTTCCGCCGGGTTTTCCACGGCCCCGCGAGCGTAAATCCGAGATTCCGCGAATATTTCGAATGCCCGTCAGCAATGGAGCCCGCCGCGAGCTCAAACAAAGTTGTAAAAATGGAGAATCTCCTTAGAGAGATCGGATTATCGTGAAAGCGCGAGCGGGTAAGAGCAGCCGCTGATTCCCTCCTCCTCGTCGTACGATCATTTCGTCCCGCCCTTGTCCTCATCCCTCTCTCCTTCGCGTCTGCATCTGTAGCAACGAGGATTACAACGAGAAGCGACGTCGCGATTAAGCATTGTTTGCCGGAAGCATTTTGCATTTAATAAGTCCAAGTGTTTCGGAATCCCAGATGAGCGGAGAATCGACAGTGGGTAGACAAGGCTGGAAGATAAAGACGGTCGGAGGAAAGGGAAAGAAAGTGGGAAAGACGACGAGGAATCTCGCGAATTCGCTATAAGAAGATACCGACTTACTTCCGCGATTTGAAGTTGCGAAAGTGGAGTCGATGGAAACGACAGCGGATAAGATTTATTAATACTCGAGAGCAAGAGCAAGAGAGGAGGGGGGGGGGGCGGACGCGCGCCTTTGTGCTAATACGTCAATGTGAATAGGAGCCCCTCTCTGATTCCTCTCGCCATCGGAAACCGGATTGTTCCTGGACACGTTCGGCCATTACCGCGGCTCTTAATTTTCAACGCGTCTCCCCCGTAGATTACGCTCGGAGAACGCGTATCGAGTGTCTTCGAGTAATGTCAGTGTCTAATAGCAGGTATATCGCATGACTGCGTTGTTTCCGGTCGCGATTGCATCTTCAGTTACACGGAGAGATACGCGTCTATACGCTACTAGTTGTACTGCTTATAAAGGATGCCAATTCTCCGTTAAGCGATAATTAAATCTAAGATTGTGTTTTCTCGCGCGTAACGTTTTTTGTTTAATGCTTCGTTGATGAAGAAAATTTAATATAAAAGTGTTTAACGTATAAGAAGCGTCTTAAAATATTAAAATGCATCTTGCAAAACAATTCCACACGCAATCTATTCGCGATAGTCACTTTGAACATTTCTTTTATTTAATAATGAATAAACCGCTCTTTTTACCTCAAATTGTCAAACTTCTCTCTTTCTTTCTCTGCGGTGCAATCCAAGAGCACGGCGATGCACAATTACCGTTATCGGCATTACAGCGACGCGTGCAAAGTATCGCGAACCTTTACCGTAGGATTTTTACAGGTGGTACGAGACGGGAGAAAGAATTAAGGGAAATGAAGGGGAAAAGCCGGGGAAAAAGAAAGTTAGAGAGAAGAGAGAGCGGGGAGATGGGGAGGAAGTAGGTAGCCACGGTATAATTAACGGAAATTGGAGTTAGGTCAGAAAGCAAAGTTATCGGGGAGAGTTTCGTCGTCAGTGCACAGCAACCAGCCATTCCGCTCGCTCGTCCTCTCGCACATTCGCGAGCGGGCGGGCGGGCGGGCGGACGCGAGCGCGCGCACAGGCGGACTGGCTTTTTCCGGGGCAGCCGCTGATATAATTACTAATTAATTACCGTTCCTGCCGCGCCGCCGCGTCGCGCCGCGTTTCGGCGAGCTCGCTTAAAAGGACACCGTACGAACGGGGAAAACGGAAGTAACTATAATCCTCCGAGCGAAGCGGCAACAAGCCGACGCTTGTCCATTTTAGCGGCCTGCCGATGCGTCCTCGTTTCGTGAACGCGAATATTTTAATAGCCGACGTCACGCGCAAACTTATTCGAACGATTTTTGATTTTAAGAAGAGTTTTTTGTCTTTTCCCGAGTCAAATTTACAAGAAATAATAAAAAGAGTGATTAACAAATTAATAAAAAGAGCTAGCGGAGAAGGCTGCACAAGTAGAAAATTATAAAAGATTGTAGTAGAGAAATTTTGAATCTTTATCTTTCTCATTTGTTTACTTTTTCGTATAAAATGTTTTCGCACGCACATCTTTGCCTGTAATTTATTCAGGAACGAGAACAACGAATACAACTTGTATACCGCAGAATCTTACGAGCCTGTGGGGAATATTGCGCGACTCGCGGGACATTCTTTACACCGATGCTCCTCTCGCGAACGCTCGCTACAGCAACATACCTAATGTCCCTACGTATGGTACAACCTTGTCATAAAGATCGCACCGCGGGGGAACGATTCCGGGAAATAAGAGCGGATTAAAGCTCCGACCCACCCCTGTCAACCGAGCTACTCGTATTTTCTGTAAACTGCGCGGTCTTCTCCGCAGAAAGAGGAACCGACGCTTACTCTAAAAGAAGAAGCTTGCGCACTTGCCGAGAGAAATAGAAAGGGGACGAGAGAGCGTTTAGCCACGAAAACGACCCATCAGGAGATCCGAGATCGGCCCCCAGGCAGAATCAAATTATTGTTCTTGCTATCTCGGCCGTCGTGATAAAATCCGAGAAACCGACATATTTTGTCGGGCCTGTTTTATTATTATGGCGCAATTCAACAATGCTGGAAATTGAAAAGTACACAAAAAGCTCGGATAATAATTAATAATTCTTTCTAATAATTCATCTGTGCATTATTTTTACATATATAATTCTTTATAATAAATCCACACACACACATAAATTTCCATAAATACGTCAAATAAATCATATTTAATATTTTTTAAATAATCATAAAGCACTATATATTACGTAAATCCATTATATTAATTAACATTGATAATGCCACATAAAGCCACATGAAGTTCATTCGTAAACAAATCTCTTGTTAGTTTTAGTTGACTTGCTCCATTATACATTGCAAAGCACAATAAGAATATCATATTAATAATGAAGTAACGAAAGTGGAGAAAAAGATTCGTACGAATGAACTTGGAGATATTGAAAGATATCTCCCTTGAGACTCGATAAGAACTTGGAAACTCACGTAGCCGGCCGTCGATCAATTCGTCATCAGAAGAGTTAAAAAATAGATTATCGAAGAAGCGAGAAGAGAAAAAGGAAGAAGATAGCTACACAGAAATTAGCGATTTATACTTAGCCGACGTTCGCAAATTATTGAAAAAATCACTCGAGCGTGAGGTAGCTCGAGATAAACTTTTCACGCGGCGCAAAATCTTCCAACAAAAATTCCACGCTATACTTCGTACTGCCGCTGTTTCCAGAAGAAAGTCAAATATGATAAAACAACTGAAATACTATTTCTTTACAAAAAAAAGATCAGTTTAATAGAGATGTCGAAAATTTTACTGCAGAAATTGACAGGCGTAATGAATTTGTAAGAGACTTAAAAGCAATAATTCATATTTAATAACCGACTTAAATACTATGAAGCTGCTGCGAAAGCGCAGACACCCATCGATTGTTTCTGAGTTAGAGCGCCGGCGACTTTCTCTCTCCAAACGGTTAATTTGATTTTTATGTATACGTTCACGCGCACCTACACGCCTTCGAGCATCTATCGGCGAGAATAATCGGGTTTCGGGTGAAATAACTTGATTAAAATAATCTATCACCCGCTAGTGACAGGAGTGATTGGCTATCTCAGTTAAATATGATGGAGGGGCCATCTCCATACCCGCGCACATAAGCGTCCTATATAACCATCTCCCTCCCTTTCTCGCACTCTCTCTTTCATTCCGCCGTATCCGCTCACTCGCACAGTTAGCCTGATATTTTCTCCTAGCTAGACTCTCCACCTCTGTATCGACAGAGGCAAATTGATTGGTAATATGTGGGCACTGCCCATCTACCAACCTCCGTGACATTTACCAACGGAAATGCCTCGTTTTTTCCGATATCCGAGCTTGAAAGAGTCGCTGAGAGGGCTTTTACCGTAGAAAATGAATATTACAGGAATGGATATCGTGCATCGGCACCTGGCCGACGATATTACAACGTCCGCGGGCGTATACGTATAGTTATGGCGGCTGAAAACAAAAAAGGAGCGAGTCCGGAACAGTGGTAATAGCGCTATGTGGCCAGACAAATACGAGAAACGTACAGAAGAGTGTAGTTTTCACAGTTCTTTGTAAAATATCGTTGAACACACATAAAGATACCCAAGTATTACACAAATGTTCCAAATTAAAATACGTGGAAGTAATGGTGGAAAAAAATAGATATTCTCAAATTTTAAAAAATTTTACATTAAATTT